CAGTCAAAGCTCGTTACTATGCCACCTCGCTTCTATGCCACTCTCGCTATTATACCACTTTTGCTCGGTCCCGACAAAATTCAATACAAAATAAATTTACTATGCCACCCCCTACTCTCGCTACCATGCCACTACTGTGTGACTGTTAAAAGGCACGAGTCGTGAAAAAGTCTGTATTGCGCAGTGCTCGATTATCACACTCACGTCCAAAGGCGAAGCGACGAACTACAGTCCAGCTGCGCACAACATAACTCAATACGTACGCGCATAGTCAGACTGTGTCAAAACACGCGATTCTTCTCCCCGATGCCAGCCACAACAAGCCAATCACAACACGCACAACGAGACACAAAAAAGCGCGAGCACACACACAGACACGCAGGCACACGTACAACAGTGACATCATTTTTTTTCAAATTCAGCCCATAATGTCAGCTCAGAAACGCAAGCGAACCGACTTTACGCTGAAGGAGAAGAAGGAGATCATCGATGCCGCGAAGAAGGAGCCGAATCAGTCCAAGTTGGCCAGGGAGATTAGCAAGAAATGGGGCGTCGAAGTTAAGAGAACCACCGTGAAGGGCATTCTCAGCAAGAAGGATGCAATCGAGGCTGCAATCAAAGCTGGATTTCCATCGAAGCGCATGAAGTTGACGCAGGCTCACGACCCGAAGCTTGATGAGGGAGTGCTCATGTGGCTGAAGCAATCAAGAGGACAGAATGTGCCTGTCAGCGGCGATCTGATCAAGGAGAAGGCGATGAAACTGGCCGAGCTGATGCACATCCCAGACTTCATGGCGAGCGACGGTTGGTTGGGCAATTTCAAGAAGCGCCACGGCATCACGTTCAAGACAGTGCAGGGCGAAGCTGGAGCGGTGGATTCGCAATCCCTTCTTGAGTGGCAACAACAGGTTCTCCGGCCCTTACTCGGGCAGTTCTCCGCAGACGACGTCTTCAACCTGGACGAGACTGGACTCTTCTGGCAGCTGCTTCCGAACAAGACCATGGCTTTCAGGGGAGAGCGGTGTACTGGAGGAAAGAAAAGCAAGCAAAGGATCACTCTTCTGGTTGGGGCAAACATGAGCGGCAGCGAGAAGTTCCCTCTTCTGGTGATTGGCAATTCCAAGAAACCCCGTGCCTTCAAGAACAAAGAGATCCCGGTCAAGTACAAGGCGAACTCGAAGGCGTGGATGACGGCGGAGCTTTTCGAGGAGATGTTGCGTGCGTGGGACGGACGACTCGGCCAGCAGGGACGCAGAGTGCTGGTCTGTCTCGATAACTTCTCTGGCCACCCTCCCGAGCTCGAGCTGAACAACATCCAACTGGTCTTCTTCCCACCCAACACGACAGCCAATTCGCAACCAATGGATCAGGGAATCATAGAGAACCTCAAGCGCCACTACAAGAAGCTCCTGCTATGCCGCCGGCTTGAGGCCATAGACGAGGGAAAGGAGTTCAAGTTCACGTTGCTCGACGCTCTACACGTCGCCCGGCGTGCTTGGGAGCAGGTCGGCAAGTCGACGATCAGGAACTGTTTCGCGAAGGCCAAGTTCATCGAAGAGGAGATCCAAACTGAGCCACAGGATGCGGAGCTGCCCGACATCTGGGAAGCTCTGCCTGCCGAGGAAAAGATGCACGAGAACGAGGAGATCGAGCTGTCTGACTTTCTCGAAGCCGACGAGCGCCTCGCGACTGGCGGGTATTTCACGCTGGAGGAGATTGCGGAGGAGATTCTGTGCAGTGAGGAGCCGGTGGAAAGCGAAGATGACGAGGTAACTGTCGAGGAGGAAATCGTTCCGTTCGAGGAAGCCCAGCGCGCTTGTAGCACCGTCCGGAAGTTCATGCAGCAGAGAAGCGGGAAGCCCGGTGTGATGCAAGCGTGCGATCGGCTAGACAACGAGATGCACGAGATCCGCCGAAAGAAGATGCGCCAGCCGACGATTCTTGAAAGCTTTGTGTGTCGTGAATTTCTCGCCATGCCATATGTTAGTGTGTGAACTCTGTTAGTGTGTGTATGTTCTCCGTTCGCTTAGCTTATACAACAGTCGTGCCTTTTACTTGCTGGAATAAATTTTGTCTAAAGATTAACTACAGATGGGTAACTTGAGAAAATAAGGCCGTTTTTACAAAATCTCGTTACTATGCCACTCTCGCT